CAGGTTGCTAAATTTTTTGTTGTTGCTCTGAGATTGAATTAGGAAAATTCCCATTGAGTTTTGGACCTCTTGATTTCTAATCATCTTTGATTAAGTTAGAGTTGCAGAAATATCATGGATTCCTACTTTAAAAATAACTTTCTTTTCTTTGTAAAAAATAATTCAGACTAATTGTAGAAATTTGGATAAGTAGCAGAAGGCATAATGCTGAAAATTACCCATAATCCTTCTTCAGAGATAATCACTATAAACATTTTGTTGTATTTGCATGTATTTTTATATACGTAATTAATCATTATGTATAAATTTTGATTTCTTCCTATTGCATTTAACATACGAATACTTCTTCTTGTGTTGAGAGCAACATGGACTTGTATTAGTTTCCTGTTGCTGCTCTAATAGTTTTCCACAAATGGAGTGGCTTAAAATAACAAATTTATTCTCATAGTTTTGGAGGCCAGACGTCTGAAATCCAGGTATAAGCAGGACCATGCTCCATGTGCGCAGACTATAGGGGAGAATCTGTTCCACTCTTTGCTCTTCCAGCCTCTGGTGCTGCCAGCATTCCTTGGCATGTGGTCTTGTCATTCGTATATCTGCCTCCGTTTTTACTCTGTGTGTGTGTGTGTGTGTGTGTGTGTGTGTGTGTGTGTTTGTGTGTGTGTGTGTGTGTATGTGAAATCTATCTTTCCTATAAGGACATGTGAATTTAGGTCCAATCCAGATAACCAAGAATACAGCTTTATCTCATAATTCTTGACTTAATCACATCAACAAAGACCATTTTTCCTTATAACATTTTCAGGTTTCAGGGTTGGGACCTGATATGGTTTGGCTGTGTCCCTACCCACTCACCTTGAACTGTAGCTCTCACAATTCCCGGTGGGTTCTGGGAGGGATCTGGTGGGAGATAATTGAATGATAAGGGCAGTTTTCCCCACACTGTTCTCGTGGTGGTAAATAAGTCTCACAAGAGCTGATGGTTTTATAAGGGGAAACCCCTGTCACTGGGCTCTCATTCTCTGTTGTCTGCCACTATGTGAGGTGTGACTTTTGCCTTTCACCATGATTGGGGAGGCCTCATAATGGAACTGTGAGTCCATTAAACCTCTCTTTGTTTATAATCTACCCAATCTCGGGTATGTCTTTATCAGCAGCATGAAAATGGAGTAATACGGGACCTGACATCTCTGGGACCATTATTTAGCCTTCCAGAGGGTTTAAGATAATGGGCTCTGGAGCCAGACTGTATGGGATCTAATCCTAGTGCCGTCTCTTACTGGCAGGATGACCTTGAGCAAGTTCCTTAACTCTTGGTACCTCTGTTTTCTGATCTGTAAAACGGGAATAATAGTACCTACCTCCTGGAGTTGGTATACAAATTACAAAGATTAATATATACAAAACACTTAAAAAGCTGAGATTAGTGGCTGGCGTGTGTAAGGAGTAGCTGTTATTATTATAGTTGTTATTTTTATTAACAGTTCTTTGTCATGTCATTTTAATGGCTGCATAAGAGTTTTTCAATGAATCTGCCATAATTTGTCTAATCTATCCTTTGGTTGGATAAGTTTCATTTTCATTTTTTTTCTCAGTTATGATGTTGCCTTGTAGTATTAAGTTTTGTTCCACTTCATTCCTTAGTGTGGAGTTCTGGAAATGGAATTCCAATGTCAAAGAGCGTGTACGGTTTTAAGCCACTTAATAAGAATTTGTTAAATTGCTTTCCAGAAAGTTGAATGGTGAGCATACCTGTTGTACTGTGGCCATACCTATTATCACATGTTATCATTTTCAGTACTCTCAGGTACTTCGACATAGTCTGCCCTTTAAGGCTGAAATGTAACAGTATAGGGACTCTACACGTTGTGGTTCATTCGATAAGGAGTATTCTGACCATGGAAGAAAACTTCTAACACAAAATGAAATCCTTGCTTTGTGAAGTCACTAAGTGCCTTCTCCATTCTGTGATGAAGCCCGGAAACTTGCTGAGTGTTTTTGGGGTTGGGGGAGAAGTGTTGGGGGAAAGGATATTAGTACCAGGGCAAGGCTAGGTTTATAGGGCCTTCAATACCATAGTTTTTCTTCTGTTCTCAAATGTGGACATTTAAAACTGAGCATTTGATGGGGTGAGGGAGGTACATGTGAACAGAAAACAGATTAATCACTTTACGACTAAGGCCACATGAAGGCCAGGAGTATGGGGTGGGAAGGGGTAGCTCCTGCACTGTTCGCCAGATTATCTGGGAGATCAACCCTGGGAGAAGCTGGGGCAACAGTCTGCATCTGCACTTTGTCTCCCAGGTCACCTGCTGCCTGCTTTCCTTCCTTAGAGGGTGCCCATTGCAGTCTGGACTGTAGAGGCGTAGCAGGGGTTCTGAGTGTGTATGCTCAAGAGAATCTGCTGCATTAGAGGTCATCTGGTCCCTGCTGTTCAGGCTATTCAGAAACATAGGGTGGCTGTGTTTCCCCAGTGGAAATGCACAGTGTACACCATGTGCAGCTGGTCACTTACAAATTCAACAGTAGCCAGATCTGTTCTAGTTAGCGGCTAAGTGGTGGCCCCAAAGATATGCTTAGGTTAGAACATCCCTGGAACTTATAAATGTTACCTAAATTGGAAAAAGGAGTTTTGCAGATGTGACTGAGTAAGGATCTTGAGGTGAGATCATCCTGGATTATTTGATAGGCCCTAAGTGCCATCACAAATATTCTTATAAGAGAGAAGCAGAGAGAGATTTGACAGAGAGGAGAAGGCAGTGTGCCAAGAGGAGAAGGCGTCTGCCAAGATGTAGGCAGAGGTCGGATGATGGTGGCCACAAGCCAGGGAATGCCAAGCCACCAGAACCTGGAAGCGGCAACAAACTAGTTCTCCCCTACGGCTTCCAGAGGGAGCATGGTGTTGCTTCTTCCTTCATTTCAGACTTCTGACCTTCACAACTAATAGATTTCTTAAGCCATCCAGTGATAATTATGGCAGCCTCAGGAAACTCATATACTAGTCTGTGCCCTGTCCAAGACAGTTCCGCTGATTATGTGCTTGGCTCTGTAACAATATCATATTGCTGTAAAAGCTTCTTCGCACTTCCAATTTCTGTACTTATCTGGTCAAGACCCAGCAACAGAGCTGGCACTGGTTTGCAGAACCCCCTTTGAGTACCACTGATCTAGTCTCCATCATTTTGTGAATGAAGAAACTGAGGCCCAGAGAGAGGAAGTGCTGTAGGTGTGGGACGAGCAGCAGGTGCTTCTGCTGCTTGGAATGTTTAGACAGGGCCAGATCTGGGGAGAGCAGACAGCAGAGTTGCCCTTTAGCCTGTTCTGAGGCCAGCCGGTATCCCCATTACTGTTCTGTATCCTGCCTGGTGAAAGCTGATGCTCCAGTGAGCCCCTGGAGCAACAAGCTGCTCAGAAGGCCCAGAAACCAGGGCAAACTGGTAGAGCCTTTGGTGCAGCTACTGAGCCAACAGCAACAGGCAAAGAACCCTGTCAAGGGTAGAGGTCACAGTTCACTGATGACTTAGTTTCCAGCTGACTGCTTCCGTCTTTGTGGACCTTCTAACTCGGGTCATATTTTCCCTCTGGAGCCCTCTTTTAACTTCCCGTATTTTCAGAATGGGACTTATCTCTTAGAGACAGGGGACTAGACAACATGCTGCTTTGATCAAGTCCAAACTCCTTTACTTGGCATTCCTGACTCCTGAATAACCAACTCCCTTCCCCTTTCCGGTTCTACCTCCCCTCCCTCCCTTTTACATACCTTAATCTCTAAACTTGGCCAGAATCAGTGCTCCCTAGTAGAAGAGGCTACAGAGGTGAGTTTCTTACATCTCCACAGTACATAAGTTCATGATTGCCCAACTCAGGAACTACTGGAAAAATATGGCGAGATAGAGGTTGAGCATACATTTGTGAAGCTCCTGGGGGTGGGGGAAAGGACAGCAGCTGTTTACATTTACTGAAGGAGAATATAAAGGCAGCACAGCAGCCAGCACCAACCGCTGACATCGACGGTCATCTGAGAACATCTGGCCCAGTGGAGCAACCAGATGCTTGTAGCCACATACATAAGCCAGGCAAGACCAGAAGAAAAAGCCCAGCTGAACTCAGCACTGATTGCTGATCTACCACAACCACACCTTGAGTCGATGAAATGTTTGTCTGAAACAAAACAAAACAAAAATCAGAGTAAACCAAGATTCATCTTTGAGTGACTCTATGTATTTTAGTAATGATAGGCATTGTACCGTTACTCAATTATGTCTGGCTTGTTATAGACAACTTTTCGGAGTCTTCCACCTTTTTATTTTCAGTGAAACTCTTATTATTTTGCTTTATGGGTAATACCCATATTAAAAGCCCCCTTCCCCCAGTATCTGGGCTTCCATCTTAACATTAATGCCATTGAGGTTTTGAGTTAATTTGTTGGCTGTCCTTTGACTCTCACACATCTCTCTTCCTTTCCTCTCTGATGGTATGGAACAGTAGTTCAGATGCCTGGGTCACTTTCTCATCATCTTTTATTTTTCTCAAGGCTTTGGTTCAAAAGCATTTGTTCCTTCACCTTCTACTTTCATTTCTTTTTCTAGTCCCAAACCTATATCCCTCATTAAAATCAGTGATTTTTGATTGCAGGGAACAGCCATGCTCTCATGGCAGCTTAAGTTAGCAGAGAGTTTGCTGTAGGAATCTCAGGAATACAGGGAGCAAAGCTTGACTGCCTGTTTGGGATGGGACTGGGAAGGCCCCTCTAACTCAGGGGCTGTGTGGTTCTGCCCATCACACACATGCCTGTGTGTGCCGGGGTATGTGTGTCTGTCTGCCCCTCTGGAGCAGGGTGGTGACAGTTGTCCATCCCTAAGTCAGTTGTGAGAGAGGAACCGTGTGACTGCTCTCTGAGCATGAGCTGAGGGGCCAGGGGGGTGGGGGGCTCAAAAAAGAAGTCTGTGGAGGGGTTCACCCTATCGCCTATTATACCCTTTCTTCTAATTTCTCAACAGGAATAACTCAAGTCACCTGCACTGAAAATCAGTTTGCTGAAATTATTCAAGCGACGATTCTCGACGTTGAAGAAAAGGTAAAAATGATCTTACAAGGGAGACTCGTGTCTGGGGAGAGGTCACCGTCCCTGTCATTCCTCCTATATGCCCAGCTTTGTGTGTAATATTTTACCCCTTCTCTCTGCCTGGCCGGGTTCCTCTTCACCCCTCAAGTTCTTTGTCAGATGCTACCCGCCTCCTTTGCGGAGGATCTCCTCCGGGCTGGCGGTGATTTCCCCTGCTGTTGAACCCCCGTGCACGTTCTCCTTCCTGTGACGTTGATGGTCGCGTTTGCCTTTCCTCTGATGGCCTCACCCTTTCTCTCTCTTGGCCGGTTGGGTAGAGGTTCATGATACCACTCCCCATCATGGTACTTACTTCCACACTTTATTCTCATGACCTGTTGTATTTTCCCCAGCATGCTCCTCGAGGGCACATCTGAAGTGTGCCTGGGTCATGGTCGGTTCTCACTCATAGGCGGGTGTTGAACAATGAGAACACGCGGACACAGGGAGGGGAGCACTACACACTGGGGTCTGTTGGGGGGAAACAGGGGAGGGACAGCGGGGGGTGGGGAGTTGGGGGGGGATGGCATGGGGAGAAATGCCAGATATAGGTGAGGGAAGGAAGGCAGCAAACCACACTGCCATGTGTACCTATGCAACAATCTTGCATGTTCTTCACGTGTACCCCAAAACCTAAAATGCAATCAATCAATAAATAAGTAAATAAAAACATTTGTCAAATGACTCATGAAGGAGACTCCCCACGAGAGGTCTGCTCCTGTGTGGACCCACATTGTACCCCCAACATGCCACCCTTACTGGGTCTGTACTAGAAATCATTCTTAAATACATTCTGATCTTTGAGCATTGATCCGAGATTCCTGATCTCTTCTCTACTTCTCCTTTGGCTCTTGGTGAAAAGCTAATAGCAAAACTTTTCTGTCTGATTTTTTATGCCCATCTTAAGAGCTGGAATCCAGAAGTGGGGAGGGGGGTGACAGGCAGAGCTGGAAGCCGGTGGTCACCAGAGCAGGGTCACACCTTGTGAGGGTGTGAGTGGGGGTTGGGGCCCCTTCTATTTGCTGCTGGTGGATTGCCGTCTCCATCTGTGCCAAACTCTCAACTGCTTCACTCAGTGACCTTAGGTCTTAACCCACCTCCCTGCCCCCAACCTTTGTCCTTTAAATGAACAAGTCAGCAGGTTCCTTTTCTCAAACTGTTTACCGTACCTGCTGAAGATCCCAGAGAAGTTTCTTATTAATTTTATCAGTTTATACATCGCAGCCAGAGGGACAAAGGGTAGATTGTGGGTGATCCTGGAGACACACATTTTGAGAGATTGTTTTGCATAGTCATTTGCACATTGTTGTCCAGGTTGGATGTGTGATTTGGGCTTCAGTGTGAGGCTTTTAATATGTATATCCTGTTATCAATAAAAAAATTATCCAAGTGGTTGAATCCTGTGAGACTTGGCAAGTGTGTGCAAATCAAGTATACTTGACAAAATAAATAATCAATTGACAGTTCTCAAAAAAGAAAAAATCAGCTGAGTTGGTCACCGTCATCTTGGAAGACTTGACTCACCCTTTCTGCCTAACAGTAACCAGCAGTTGTCTCTCTCATAGGTAGCGTGCTTTCTCTTTTGCAAGGTGCTCTGACACATAGCAGCAGATTTTCTTCTCCGGCCAGTCCTGAGAAGCAGGCAGAGGCAAGTGGTAACTTCGCATTTCAAAGTTGGAAAATAAGCTCAGAAGTTTAATGTCTTGCATAAGGTCAGGAGCTGATGTGAATGGGGTTCAGTTTTTCCCACCCCATCCCATCTTGGTCCTTCCCTTTGGAAGCCATGGCAAACTACCAGACTCACAAAACAGTCTCTTCCCTCTCCTCCCCACCCTTAGTGTACCTTTGAAGGAGGGGAGTCTTGATCTGTTGAGAGTCTGACCCTGGTGCTCTCTCCACCCCCAGCCAGGCAACTTTCTTGAAAAAGCAGATGTGTTCCTCTTGAGACCTTCCAGTCAGTCTTGAAAGTTTTGTTTTTGTTAAGGCTAATTTATATACAAGAAATTTAATTAGTTTATATGAATGCTGCATTGCCTTACTCTGAGTAAACTGGAAGACACTAATGGGTTTGATCAGCTTAATTCAGCTGTATCCGATGATGTTCTTTCCCTTCCTTCTCTTTTAAATAATTGCAAATGGTTTCTATCAGTCAAGGAAGCTGAGCACAGTGCTTTATTGCCATGTGGATTTGTTTAGTTAAATGTGGTTTTTAAAAAATGGCTCAACTTTTAATGAAAGAGCGGATTGTCAAGTGACATTTTGATTTGTCCTTTGATGGGGAAATGGGAAAATAGAACCATCATAGTAAAAAACCATCTTCTATTCTAGAAGGGAGGCTATTAACTTAAGAGCAGGATATGATTTCAGTGAATTGTTGTTTTCCTGAAGCAGGCCATCCTCTATGGTCTTTTTACGTTGAGAAACCTTCCTCTGATACTGTCTTAGATTAATTTCCTGTGGGAAACTCTAACCTGGAATCCCCCAAACAGGTTGGTACTCCTCACAGTGTAAGCGCTGGGGCCTAAGACCAGATGCCAGCAACCTTTAGCTGGGAATCTGAAACATCAGTATCGAGAAATCTGCAAGCCTATTGTGATGCTTTAATTGAAGGAAACATCAGGCTGTACATTTACTTCCAGTTGTGGCAGGATCAGGATGTAAGCAGTATTTTACTGTGAAGGTTATTGTTTTCTTAACCCCAAAGCTGGATCTACATTAATGAGGATCCTTATAGAGGCTACCCACAGGTGTTCTGGCTGAGCCTGGTCCCAGGTGCTCCTCAGTGGTTGTGCCCACCTTGAACTGGCAAAGTGGCAGGACCTCTGAGCAGCATGAGAGGATGGGCAGGGGTCACCTCTGAGGCTGGCCCCAGGACTCCTCTGTGTTCTGTAGCATTCTTACACCCTTCGTAGCAGTTAGCAAACTTGGTATCTCATGAGTACCTCAAGCTTACTGTGTCCAGATTTTAACTCTTGGTCTGCTTCTACCATAGTCCCGTTCTAGGTCTCCTACCTTCCCCCATCTTATTAAGGTGCATAGTAGTTAACTCACTTTGTCAAGCCAGAAACTGGGAAGTCATCTGTTAATATTCTCCTTTCTCGTCCTCCAAAGCACCAAGTCCTAATGATGCCTCTCCTTAAGTAGATCTTGAGTTCATCCATGGCCCTCCCACGTCCACCCCCAAGTCCAAGCCAACATTATTTTTTGCCAAGGTGACTGACTGCCAAAGCCTTTTAACGGGCTACCCTGACTGCTTCCCCCTTTTCTTCTATTCCTCTCATCACTTTGGACCCACAGCAGTCTTTAAAAATTCTTGTGACATCATTTCACTCCCTTGCTTGAAACCTGTTGGTGACCTCATCCTGTACTCGATGAAACACATAAGCCCAGCGCAGCCTATGGAGAGGACTGCACCGTCTGGCCCTAGGCCTGGCTACAGAGGCACAGCATTGTTGGCACCATGTTGTTGTAGTTTGTGACACTCACCCCTTCGCTCTTGACTTCCCTGGAAGATTACAGTGACTTCAATTTTCCAAACACAGTAAAATAACTCAGGCTCTCAAAGGTGTACTTAGAATGAATATTGTGTTAAGGGAATTGGAACAAGGAGTGATTTGTTCCTCCAAACACTGGAATAACACCTCCTAGAACACAGAAGCGGACCACTATTTCATTTGGAACCTTAATATGTTAATAGCCAATAAGTAATGAACTGAAATTGCAATGCCCCCTGGTACTCCCCCAGCAGCCTCCCCACCCCCCACCAACATTTTAGACATAAAAATGTGCAACAGCATTTTAGCTTAGGAAACGTGGTTCTAGGTTGGTACAAGGAAAGACTGACATTCTATTATACAAGGGAAAAAGAAACAAAGCTAAATATTAGCATACAGCTTTCCTTTTTAAATGTGTTTCTCCTAACTTAAAGCCTGTTTCTTTTCCTTAGCCTTGAGCCTTACTCTTCTGTGTGTGTGTTTACGTGTGTGTACACATGTCGCCATGCACACACCTGAAAAGCACATACCTGAATTTCATTTTAGGCATGATACTCTCCATTCTGAGGCCTTCCCCAAGGTATTTATTGGAAACACTGAAATTCTAGCCAGATGTTTGGTGCACTGTGGCCTAAAATTTAGACAGCTTTTGTATGACATTGAAGTTGAAATGTTTTAAATACTCAGTTGGTGGGTCCCCGATGAGTTACAGCAAAGATTGTGATGGGAATGCCAGCAAAGGTGATTTTATAGCGTGATGAGCGTTGTGATAGGGTTTATTACCCAGTGTCATGGGAGTATAGCGAGATGGCCCCTCACTCACCTTTGGGAGTAGAAAGTCATGTGACTCTTGAGATGGGTCTTGAAAGAGACCCCAAGTACCAAATGCTTGTTACTTTTTTTTTGCCAAGCAGAAGGAATGCTTGGGACAAAAGGGGTGCGAAGGGCATTTCAGACAGCTGCAGGGATAAAAGCCTGGGAGGTCAGCAAGGGCGTGGCATGCCAGAGAACCCCGAGGAGGGTAGCTGCTGCAGTGGAGGGCACGGTGGGGTCAGAGTTGAGAGCTAAAATGTGGGCAGGAGCCACATTGTGCAGGTCCTTCCTTGGGGACCAGGTTAAGCAAGGGATTTGGATCTTACTCTAAAGGCAGTAGAATGCCACTGTAGAATTTTATAATGGGGAGTTACTGGATTGGGTTTGTCTTTTAGAATAGGGATTCTGTAGGCATTGTCTGTACTCCTAAGACTTCTACTGAAAGTCAGTGATCTGATTCAGATATGAAAGTCCTTTTGTTATTTCTTATTTATTTTATTTATTTTTTAATGCATTTTAGTTTTGGGTGACATGTGAAGAACATGCAAGATTGTTGCATAGGTACGTACATGGCAGTGTGATTTACTGCCTTCCTCTCCATCACCTGTATCTGGCATTTCTCCCCATGCTGTCTCTCCCCAACTCCTCATCCCCTGCCTTCCCTCC